GCCACCACAGCCAACAACAAAAGCGCAACTGTTCGCAGTATCCTCCCGGCACGCCTCTGCCAGAGCATGGGAGGAAGAAGCGCTTCGTGGACAAGTCGCATTGTGTCGACTTCGCCCCTTTTTGCCTTCGACAGGGTGCACTCTGGCTCTGAGGCAAAATACGGGGCGGTCACAGCTCCTTCTCCCATGCTCAGCACGTCTGCTGGACTAGAGCTCTCATCCACCCGGGTGAAAGCTCAGCCTCCAGAAGCCCATCCTGCGCCATTTCGTCCTTCCCCCACGGGCACACGATGCAAACTGTCCCCGCACTGCAGCTGCTGTTGCCGCCAGCTCTCCGCCTGCGGCCATGCTACTTCCCCCGCCATCGAGGTAAAAAATAAAAAGTTCCGTCCTTTACTGAGAGGTAGCCCAGAAAAGCATCTACGGGGGACACCGTTGACGCCACTCCAGCGTGCCCATCGGTGCTGCTCAAATAACGGAAAGGGCTTGCGCCACTGTCCATCCGATCCGTGAGGTCGCTCAGGGGCTTTACACTTCCATGCAGTGAGCCCTCCTGCGCACGGAAAATCCAGGGGCCACTCCCACTCAGTGTGACGAGTGTCGTAGAGCGGCTACTGACATAATTGAAAAGGCGGTTTTGCAGCAGGCGCTCCTCATCCTTGCACGAGTCGGCGGACACGTCCTCGCCACACGCAAAGCAGTTCTCCTCCTGTGCGGTGGAGGCTGGTTGTATCAGTGCGCTCGGTCGCGTTCTTGTGTCTCTCCAGGCAGAGACTGGGGGAGAAACCGCCACAGCAATTCCGTAAAGAGATATCTGACTTGCCAGAGTACCGTCGCTCCCGTTTCAATAGATGCTGCTCCCACAAATGTTCCACGCATCCCCCTCCTCATCCTCGTCTCCGTCGACCTCGCTACCGCCAAGGAGAGCAACAGCAAATACCTGTCTTCTCATCGTCCCCATTTATCTGCCGCAGAGAGTCTATTATTTGGCTGCTGCTGGACCATTGCACATCTGCGGAAGAGGCCGAGGCCGCCCTCATCGTCGCTGGAAAGGACATCCGGCGGCTCCAAAACGTGCACGCCCTCAAGAACAAATTCCGACCCGCACCGTGGCCGAGGGACGGCGGCTCTTGGCAACTGGCAACGAGGCATCGTTTGTTGTTTCTTTTGTCCGCAGCAAAAAGTGGGCCAAAGTCCCTCAACACGCTCGCCGCCCTCCCCCTCCGTGTGTCCTTCGTGTGTGTGTGTGTATTTCCTCCACGCACGTTGGGCGTGCAGACCGGCACCACAAACTCCAGTACTCTCGCTGTTGCCGGGCGAGAGAGAACTGAGAACGGACGTACACGGCAAAAGACAAAAAGAGCGCCATGAACCACAGCGCAACAACAAACGCACATTCATTTCTACCGCAGTCAAATACACGCGCACACGCACGCAAATGCCGTTTCGCTCTATTTTCCCTTTTTCGTTTTAACCGTTGTCCAGCCCCTGACCTTCACTTACATTCATTACCGCCTTTTGCCAGCCGTGCGGCCTCGTCCCAAGCGGCCTAAATAAAGGCGCCCCGCCACGTACAAAACAAGACAAACAGCGCGGGTGAGGTACATGGTCAAATAATTCCCCACCCGGGAGTGGGGCAATGAAAAAGAAAAAAAGGACAAAACAACAAGGCAGAAATGTGGACGTGCAGGCAGCACAGAAAAAGCAAACACAAAGGAAAAATAGATGCCACAATGCCAGAACCAAACTACATATGAAAAAAGTGGGCCAACTCCCCATACCGGGAGCCACACCACCGGCACTGACGACAGCCGCACCGTGGGATGCTCCGCTCACAAATAAATCACACGAACACACAAGAATACATTCCCAGCGGCTCCCAACCGCGAGGTGAGGGCTCTGGAGTGGGAAGGCCAAAGCAACGCACACAAACAAAAAACACGCTGAATCCCCTCCATCTCCCAATCGCAAAATTAACAGAATAAAACGTATCAAAAACACAGACTCACATACATCGTTCATTGGCGGCCCATCACACACACGCACCTCCTCATCACGTGCCCCCAGCAGAAGCACACACGCACGCGGGTCGAGGGCAGGGAGTGACACGCTCCACGGGGGCACGGGGTAGTCAATGACACATTCCACGCTGTTCGGCCACGGAGCAAATAGCGCACCTTCAGAGTCACAACAAATTATCTAACAAGAAATCCATAAATAAAGAAAATAAGCTATTTCGTTTCCTCGCTAATTGTAAAATTGGCAGAAAATACTTGTCTGGGCTGCTCGCCAGATCCTAAACTTATGTAAAGTAAAGTAATAATGGTGGAAAAGAAAGAAGGTAAAAGGAGAAGCAGTGGGTTTCGCCTAAATGCCTGCTTCAAGTAAATATATACATATACATATATCTATTTTCGAATTGTCGCTCACGTAACATGTGGCACATTGTTGGGATTGTAAATATTACGACTTATAAGGCGGTAGGATTTTGAGGATCCTCCAGCCACAAGACCCCACCGCGAGGCGAGCATCGCAAGAGGGTGTGGGTGGAACGAAAAGTGAAAAACAAAAAGAAAAGAAAATATTCGTCTTCCCGACATCGGCTCCCTGATTACTTCCATCGTCGGCTTTCACAAAATAATTAACAACACAGGTAAAAAAAAAAATCGTAGAGAAAAAAAAATATCCTCGTTTTTATCAAGAAATATATTAATTTCGGCGGCCGGCATTCTTCTTCATCACTCGTTTCACCGACACCAAAAAAAAAAAAAAAAAAAAAACGTATCAAAAACACAGACTCACATACATCGTTCATTGACGGCCCAGCACACACACGCACATCCTCATCACGTGCCCCCAGCAGAAGCACACACGCAGCACAACGCAACGGTCGCCCACTGGCTCCACAACCACCTCCCGCACGCGGGTCGAGGGCAGGGAGTGACACGCTCCACGGGGGCACGGAGCAGTCAATGACACATTCCACGTCGTTCGGCCACGGGGCACACAGGGCACAAACCGGAATGCAGCAACCAATCAAGCAATACATTGGGATTCAACACGCACAGAAAACAAATCATTTCGTTCATTTGTTAATCGCACGACGGGTATATCGTGTCGTCGGAGACACGTTCCACACGGGCGACGGGAGATGTGTCGTTGCCGAAGCGCGCCATCAGCGCAGCGTAGTCGTCCTCCCGCACGTGATGGACACACATCGAGGTCGGCACCACCTGCGACTGCCCCGTGCTATTGCGAGCGTTGTCGAAATGACACGGCAGCACCTTGACGTATACCATCGGGTTGTACTTCACTTCGTTCACTAGCACACGTCCCACCATTACGTCCTCGTGCTGCATATGAATCGAAAAAAACTCTTCCTCACGCTCCTTGCTGTACGGCAGGTACGCCAGGCGGCGCAGCGGCTTGTACGACACCAACGCCTCCGCCACATCCCTCGACAAGGTGTAGCACCAGCCAATCATAAACAACACATGTATTGAACGGTCCTTCACCCATAACGATGATCCTGAATGGACGCCCATGTAGATCCCTTGGCGCGGCAGGAGGCGTAGGTGAGCAACATACAGCGGCACACGGAGGAAAATGTCGTCATCGCCCTTCGCAATGTACCTCGCGGTCGGAAACAGGCGGTGCGCAAGGTCAAACCACATGTACGTCTTGCGGGTCATACCAATCGCAGCTTCGATGCCTGAATACCCCTCAACTCCAGCTTTTTTCTCTTGTAACAAACGGCCCTCATTCATTGGCAGCGCAACCACATCGTTCCACTGCGACGCCTCCTTCAGCAGCGCGGCAGAGTAGTCGTAGCCGTGCGACGGGTGTCGCCCGAGGACGTACAGCACAAGCATCGCACCGGTGAAGTCGTTCGCCCTCGTCGCCACTCCGGGGAACCGCCAGCACGTCGACCGCTGCAGGTTGCGTCGTGTTCGCCTCGCCTCGTCGTCCGTGGAGGGGATGCCCAGCAAAATCAGATACTCCCGCCGGCTCCACGTGTCCACAACAAGGCGTGGGATGTAAGCAAGCGCTGCGTCGTCCACTGCGGCGGCTCGCGGGTGGCGGAGGTTGTTGGGTTCTGGTGCACCATCATCGGCAGCGGGGTGAAACCTGAGGGACAGAACAGTCGTGACCGCAATGAAAACAATCAGCAGCACGGCAACCCGCCTCAGCCTCCGCTTCATCGTCGGCAGTTTCGTTTTCGCCATGGTCGCTTTCGGTGTGAGAATCTAGGCAAAAGAGAAAAGGGCGGAGAGAGTGTGGGGGCAGCAGGCAGCAGGCACAAACAGCACGGGCGACAACCAGAAACAACACGGCCACGCGGTGCCACGCAGCCACGCGAGTACACGAATGCCCGTCAGCCAACCCACTGCGCCCCACCCGAATCCGGGACGGTGCGGGGGAAGGCGTCACGGCGGCGGAGTGAGCGGTGTCAGGGAGACCGTGAGTGATGGGGGCAGGGCCGCCGCGGTGGCAACGTGGGCGGCGACACCAGCGCACAGGAGGCACGGGAACAACCGCCAGGGCTCGTCCGGCGCCTGTGGGGCGCTGCGCCGTCCCCTCCCCGATGAGGAGTGGGCCACGTTTCCCAGAAAGTTACAACAAAAGAAGAAGGAACAGTCATAAAAATACAATGACACATAAAGACTCCCTCCGACACACACACAAAAATGCTCTTGTTTTTCTTCCACATTGCGAGACGTTTTTCACTTCATTGCGTTGGTTTCACTCAACATTTCCGATCACAAAAAACAAAAAAAGTAGGGGACAAAAAGAGTCCTGCACGCCTGTTGAGTCCTCGCAGAGAAGCGGCCTGCCTTTCTTGTACGCATGACCACCCACCATCGGCGGCCGGTGCGTTGTCACCTCGGTATATATATTCGGTCTCCATGGCTGCAGCCTCTTCCCACGTGTCGGCTCGCAGGGTCACCCTCGACGGCGGCACGCCCCCTCCTCCCCTGTGAGTCTCGGCGTTGGGCTCCTCAGCAGTTTCCGTAGCGCTCTTCCGGGATACGCATACTCTCAAGATCGTTGGGGAAGAACTGTGGTGCCGGGGAGAAGCCGCCAAAATAACCCACCGGCGTCGGCTCATGGCTGCCGCTCTGTTGCCGGCACGGGCCCCATCCGGAGTTTGGGCCGCCCATGTTCCCAAAGCCCTCCGGCGACGGCGGCATTTCATTCGGGACCGTGCATCCCTGTTGCATCATCTGCCGCTGCGTCTCGGCAACCATTTGTTGAACGACCCGGCGCTGCATGTTGTACTGCATCAGCCGCATTGCGCCGTACGGATCCGGGCAGAACATCACGGAGGCTCGTTGGTCGTGTTTCGTCCCTTTCGCGCTCTTATCCGTGGGCCCCGTGCCACCGCAGGTACGGGCAAGCACGCAGACACCGGCAGGGAGGGGAAAAACAGAGCAACAACAAAGCACCAATGAAAGGAGTACGACAAGGCCAATGAAGCAGCAGAACAAAAAAAGGAAAGAAAGAAAGAGCGAGACGGCGCGGAGTGACGTCCCACACACCACCACGACGCTCCCACGCATGTCGTTGCATGTAAAATGGTGCAAGTGGAATGGAAAATACTGCGTGCGGTCAACAAAATAACGCCGTGCCGCTCCTCTCTCCGTCCCATTTATAACCCTTCCGGGCACAAAAGCCGCACAAATTACACGCAGCGGCAGGCGCACGAAATCACAAAAATATGCGCACAATGAACTAATCAAAAAAGGAAGACCCGCCACCCCAGCAGAAACGAGCACCACACGCATAAAAAAATATAAAATGAACACCGCCACACAAATGGGTGTATTTTGCAAACAGCAATTACAAAGCAAAACAGACAAACATAAACGGTGGATGGAAATGGCTCTCTTATGAAGTGCAGCAGATCCGGGAAAAGAAACCGCCCCGCGAAGGCTTTTTCCCGCTCTTTTTCACGGAACAGCTACTGGCACTGTCACTGTGCGTCGTCCCGCGCCTTGGCCTGACTTTCCCAGCAGCTCGTCCCTTATCGGCCACGCCCTTTTGCCTTTGAAGTGGAACGGCTACTGAGGGACCTGCCATGTCGGTTGGCGCCTCCTCTGATGCGCCCAACGGATTCACCCGGGGGTTCCGCTCCCTGTCGTCTTTGTCCAGCTCCTCTTCCTCTTCTATTGGCCGTGGTGCACACAACGGGTGGACGTCCGCCAACATATTCCCGGAAGCTTGAGAGCTGCGCGGACGTGTGGCGGATGGGGGCAGGATGAGTTTGACGGACCCGCGTCCTCTGGAGGCCGCGACTACGCCCGCCTCCTCCCTCTCCAATTCAATACGATTGGCACTGCTCCCCGCGTCCGTGAAATGCCAC